AACTATGAATGACAACCCTTCTTATGGCACTCCTTATACTTTTGAAATCCCATGGCTATTCTATATCGCTTCCACACGACTCTAAGCTCCCTACGCTTGTGGCCATCTGCCCTTCCTCACTCTGTGTCTCCAGTTATTAATGTATAGAAAGACCTCCACTGGGGTGTCAACTCAACATGGACAAACTGAATCAGTAGATGTTTAATAAAAGTGTGGTCACTCATTGTTCTTCCGTTTTCCAACACTGGAGATGGAATGTGCAGCCTTTCCTCCTTGGCATGTTCCTCACCACTGAACTACAGCCCTTCCTAGCAGGGCGGATTGACGTGTTAATTTGCATCCTTTGACCTGCTTTCCTGCTAAATTCTTCCTGAGGCAGAAAGCACAAGGGAGTTCCTCTAGGAGGCCACACGGTTCGAGACAGCCATGATGAGGCCCTCTGACTCTGAGCCTGTACAAGGCAAAAGACCTTACCTTTTAACCTTCCTGTTTCATTCTGACCTGAAGATTAGGATGGGTCACAAGTCAGAAATGTGTTTCTACACATCCAAGTGAGGTTATTAAAAGTTCACCAAGGACTTCCGTATGCTTAGGCCTATCTTTTTCCCATCTCGCTCAACAAAGCTAGCTGAGAACCTTTACCCTTTGTCTTTCCTTTTTTTTTTTTTTGGAGAGGGGTAAGGATACACAGCCAGAGAGCTTTTTCCCCTGGGTAATCAGAAACCCAAGTCTGAATGATTCAGACCTCTAAAACTGATCAGAAATTCTGGGGATGCTTAGTTAGCACAGTGTCCCATTAACAAGTTCTTGAAATTATTATATCCTTATCATTTCTAGAGGAGGTTATTTAGCAGGTTCAAATACTCATTTTAAACAGAGCCACAGGGACAGTTACAGATGTTTAGTTGACACATTCAAAATCGAAAAGGATCACAATTGCCTGGCTTTCAACCCAATACTCCCATTTAATTGTGTTCCCACCTCACTCCCTTAACATGAGTTCTATGGAGCTTCAGTGAGCTGTGGCGGTTACAATTTCCGACATGAATCACAGCATATTCACTTATTTAAATCTCAATCAGAAAAGCAGCTTCATTTTTCAAAGTTCACATTTCAGACTGCCAATCTCAGAGGGAAGGGCATGCCATACCTGGAGCAGGCCATTGCTTCCGGGGGATGGGGAGCGGGAAGGGTAACAGACTAGGTGGTATGAAAACATGAAGAGCAGTTCTAGGAAGGAAGAGTACGAATGGGGATGAATGGCAGAGAGATGGGGAGAGGGGGGTAGTGGAGACGCGATCAACCAGAACCAAGGATGTACGAAAATGCCCTAAGGAGAACCATTACGTTGTATGCTAATGTAAATAAATAACAAAGGGCTGGGGGAAATTGTTCTTTTGTGGGAGGATCTAGCTAGTTACAGGGTTGGGCTTTTCTCCAATTTGTCACTCACTGCTATTAAAGATTCTCATGAAGGTCTTTACCCGTGGGCCACAAGACGCGCCCAAATTGACATTTTATATGTGCTGCTCATGGGACATGGACACTCAGAGCAAAGCAACTTTGGGTTGTGGGGTAACCGGGATTTCTTAACTGACCGCCTTGGTGAAACACTGCCTGTTTCTCAGGCTTTACTTCCTCTAAATAGAAAGCATTCAAATGGGGACAAGGAGAATTTTTCTTAAGCGCCCAAATCATGTCTCCATAAAAACAAAAGGCTGTTGTGCAATGACTTCATCTAGCAAGTCTTCATCTGGCTCCTGTACTGCTTAAAAAATGGGTGGATAGCTTGGCTACCAGCCTTGCAATCCAGTGAGACCTCATCTCCGTTGAGTCTTCCATTCAGGAGATTATTCGGAAAGCCTGATGGTCAATGTCTAACACTAGGGGCTGTTGTTACCTTTTGTCCTGGGTTCTCTCAGTTTGCAAGGCAGAATTGTGACACATCGAATTAATGACTTAGATAAAGGAGCTTTGTCACAGTATTTTCCAGAGCTAAAGGACCTGACCCTTTCCAGAGAACTTCAAAGGACTTGCTGACATTCTTCGTTTATGTCTGTCTGTCTGATTTGTTGGTTTGCTGTCATTTTGCTCAACTGCATATGGATTTGCAGTGCTGGAGCTGGGACTCGGGGCCTCCTGCATGCTAGGCTAATGCTGTGCTACTGAGCCACACCCTTTTCCCGACTCTTCACGTAAAATTAGACCCCTTAGAGTGGAGTTTAGCGAGTATGTCTAAGATGAAATGGTATTTTGTAAAGAGGTGGATAGTATCAAAGTTTGTCTGTTCATCTCATTTTAGCAAATTTGCGGGCTGTGTGTTTTTAAACAAAAACTCTTCATTGGGCTAATATGAATTTTGTATGAGTAGGAAAAGGGAGGCAAAGTGAAACGCAAGTTGTACCTGTAATTCACAATCTAGTTCATATATTCAGCAATTGTCGGATGAAATGTTAGTCCTTTAGCTATACATTTAAGCTTGTAGTTTCCCAGCAAAATACCTGCTTTCTACCCTAGTCTTAGCTTAGAGCAGTAGTTCTCAACCTGTGGGTCATGACCCATTTCACAGGGGGTCGGAAAAACATGGATGTTTATGTTACGATTCATAACAGTAGCAAAATTACAGTTATAAAGTAGCAACAAAGTAATTGTATGGTTTGGGTCACCACAACAAAAGGAACTGTATTAAAGGGCTGCAGCATTAGGAAGGGTGAGAATCACTGTCTTAGACACTTACCCATTACAATTACTGTACTCTCATAAACAAGAGTTTGCTTGCTGTTTTCCTTCAAAATTGATTTTAACTTAAATATTTTAAGATTTTAGGAGAGAGAGAGGGAGGGAGGATGGGGTAGGCATGTTTGTGTGTTAGCCAGAGGTCGATAGCAAGTGTCTCCCTCTATTTTCCACTTTATTTTTGAGGCAAAATTTCTCACTGAATCTGGAGTACACCAATTCTGCAGGACGAACTGGCTATTGAACTCCAGGTCCCAGGAGGGCACTAACCCCTAATATTTCTCAGGAATTCTTTCAACGTGGTCAGGAATAGTTAAAAAAAAATCCAGAGTGAAGCAGTGTCTTGCTGATAATTAGGTTTTAAAGGCTAGTTCCACAGACATATCCCCCAATCAAGCTCATGATGCTGCCTGTCCTTGGCGAGAGTGACATGTTCAACCTGCCCAATTCTGTGCACTATGTCTCCATTTCTTCCTATGGAACGAATATACTACCCCTCTTTCTCCCAAGCCAGATAGAACCTGACTTATATTCATCGTCATTCTCCAAGTACACCAACATTCATAGAAGGAAAACAATGTAGCCATCAGTTCATACATTGGGTAAATATCAACCTTGGCGTTTCTTTTGGTACTGGCAATTGACCCTACAGTGTCATGCATGGTTGGCAAGTACTGTACCACTGAGCTGCATATCCTGCCCAACAAATACATTTAAATAGAACACAATAAAGGGTAATAATAGAAAGTATTATAAAATTTCTCATTTTTGAGAATCCTATTTTCTCACCATTTTCTATGCTTTTTTGTATGCCCATGCTATTTTCTCCACATAGAAAATTTTTCTATTTCATCAACAAATTCTAGATGTTGATATAGCCTCATATGCCCATTCTCAGGCTACTTTCTCTCTGAAACCTTCCTGGCATTCACTGACCCATCTAATGTCATTTCTGTCTTACTTGATCCTCCATGGCTCTTTATTTTAATGTTTTATAGGACCTACCATAAACATTTATTTGAACACATGTGCTAAATAAGTAACAATGACTTAGCCGGGGAGGTGGTGGCACACACCTTTAATCCCAGCACTTGGGAGACAGAGTCAGGTGGATCTCTGTGAGTTCGAGGTCAGCCTGGTCTACAAAGCGAGTTCCAGGAAAGGCACAAGCTACACAGAGAAACCCTGTCTCGAAAAACCAAATAAATAAGTAAATAAATAAATAAATAAATAAATAAATAAATAAATAAATAACAATGACTTAATTTTCATCTTCATACAATGCTACCAGTAAAAAAAAGTGTATATAAAATCTTATAAGTTAAAAATACTCTTTCTATATCAAGGTGCTCATTAAAATCTTGATGTGAGGGCAAAGAGGGCTCTGGGCGTGTAGAAAGCTCTGAAACTTCCAGTCCCATGGAGCTAAAATTTCCTTAGTTTGCTTTTCTTTATTTTTGTTTTATTTTTAAAAGGATCTCACTATGTAGCTGATGCTGGCCTAGAACTCACTATATAGCATGGGATGGCCTCAAACTTAAGATATGTCTGTCTCAGGCTCCTCATTGCTGGGATTATAGACTTGTGCCATCATAGGAATTAGCTATTTCTACTCATGTTTTCTTTTCTTTTCTTTTCGTTTTGTTTTGTTTTTGTTTTTGTTTTGAGACAGGGTTTCTCTGTGTAGCTTTGCGCCTTTCCTGGAACTCACTCTGTAGCCCAGGCTGGCCTCTAACTCACAGAGATCCACCTGCCTCTGTCTCTCAAGTGCTGGGATTAAAGGTGCGCGCCGCCGCCGCCGCCGCCGCCACCGCCGCCGCCGCCACCACCACCACCCAGCTCTTATTTTCTTATAGTATGTTGTTTTGTGCATCGATTGAATTTGCTTGAGGTACTACACAGAAAATGTTTTTTTTCTGATAAAATTTAAAAAATATTCTTGAACAGTTAGTTCCAAAATATCACTGGCTCGTATACTCCTAATTTGTTTAGCTGCTTCTTAAAATTTCCAAGGTAAATGATTGCTCCAGGGAACTCTACCCTCAAATAGTATAATATATATTATTTGATATATACTATTGTATATATATCCATATGTGTATAGGTATATGTATATGATGTATATTACAGCATAGGACATGGTGTAGCCCATAAATATTCTACATAAGAGAAGCTTCACAAAGCATTATTTGCTTTTCCTTAGAAAGAGCATTTGGCATGATGGATTGAAACTTTGAGGCACTCCACAGAATATTTGGTCTTACCGCACTGGAACCCCTGAGGAAGGAGAGCAGATTTCGACACACTGGCAGCAGGATCAGCATGCAGTTGAAATTCAGGCAGGCTGCAGGTGCCCTGGCCAGAGCCAGTGCTGACTAGAAAAGAGAGGATAGGGAGTCGAGAGACTTGCGTGAGCAGAATACCCACATTCCTCTTCCCTGGAGTCCTATCATGGGACCCCAAAAAAGCTCCTTCAAGACATCTGGAAAGAATTTCCTTCAGAGCAGAGGATTTTTTCCTTAGGGTCCACTGATGTGCTTTCTTTTAACCTGAAACTGCCTTTTAACCTCAACTGAACATTTTAAAGTTTCAAACCTGAAGAGAAGTTGAAATGAATGCACTTTGAGTTGTGTTTATCCACCTCCCAGACTAAACCTTTTAAATTTTAGTATGCATGCTTTATCGACCTTTCCACCCCTTTCTCCATTTGAGGAGAGTATCAGGTGTCCTCCTATATTTCTGTTGCTCTCTGTTTTATCCCATTGAGACAAGGTCTCAGCTTGAACCAGGATCTCACCGTTTTTTCTGTAGTCTGGTGTTCAGCACGCTCCAGGGATCCTACTATCTCCACTACCGCCTTATCCTTCCAGTAGTGGGGTTCTGGGTGCCTGTGGCCACACTTGCCTTTGTACACGGGTACTGGGGAACTGAACTCTCGTCCTGATGCTTGTGCAGCAAGCACTCCTATCCTTTGAGCACCCCCCTTACACAGTTGGTACATGGTAAGTTGCATGCATAAGTTTACATCCTCCTAAATCTTTGAGCATGTGTACCATTAACATGAGGTCAGTATCAAAACTAGATCTTTGATTTTAAACAAAGTCCCCTTAGCATTCAGACCTTAACTGTAACTTAAGTTGATATGGTGTAATACTTGGGCAAAATTGGTTTTGCCATATCTAAAGAAGTTGCCTATTTTACAACCTACAGGGTCAGCATGAATACATTAGAGACAATTTTAATAATGTCATATGATTGTTTGATAATACTTATACATATGATTATAACATATTATTAGTGTAAGCAATTAATATTTTCAGCATTATATAACAAATTATGTGCTCTGGGAGTAGCTGCAATTCTAATTGTTTTCATTTGTGATATAGATACCTGACAATTCAAGGAAATAGATTACTTAAAGACTCAAAGAAATTCAAGGACCTCCACTCTGCTGGCCTACTGAAATGCTGTAGTACACGAACAAGTTCCTGCCAGTCTCCAGATGTAACTTGAAGTTGGTTTTCTCAAGATCATTTCATGTGTCATTAGGAGGAGGGCTTCTCCATGCAAAAAAAAGGTATGAACCACCTACCTTGGAAAAATTACAGAAAATTTCAGTTGTCACACCAACTGTATGGTGTGATGAATGGATGGCTCCCAGTAGGCTTTCCATTCATTCTACAGATTCCTATGCTAAGCCTGGTACATATTGCTAGACAGGGATGCAGCTTAGACCCTCTGCCATACTTGTTTGTTACACTGGTAGGCCTTAAGAGACTATTGTCAAAGAATTTGCAATTGGGGATGAAACTGATGAAGTTGTCTTGGTTGGTCAGAATATTTCTTTTAAATCTTAAAAGGAATAAATATGAGCACATCTGCCTAGAAGTGTGAGCTGGCCAATATTGCATGAGGTAGAAGTTTACTTACTCCCCCCACAAAAGCTGCACTAGGGAGCAGAGCCAGGTGGGTCTCTGTGAGTTCGAGGCCAGCCTGGGCTACCAAGTGAGTTCCAGGACAGGCGCAAAGCTATACAGAGAAACCCTGTCTCAAAAAAAAAAAAAGAAGAAGAAGTTTACTTACCCCAAGGAGTTTTCGAGTATAATAGTACTTAGGTCCATCATCATAAACCTTGTAGTAATGGACAAAGAGGAAGACATTCAACCCCAACCACACCAGCTGCACAAACAGAAAAAGTCAGATGAGGTTTATAAATCTAAATGGGTAGAGATGATAAAAAAAAAAATCCCATATGACACTGGAGTCAAGTGAAAGACAGGACTTCCCTCAAGTTCAGACTTTGACATTGGTGGTTACAGAGCTGAACACAATCAGCTTAGAGGCAGCTCTTTCCTATTCCAGTGCCACTCCACTTTTCAGTAGCTGACTTTATCTTTCTTCATCGTTTTGCATCATCACTCCACTACTTGGTCAACATATTAAATTAATAACAGTCTGTCTCATCTCCTTCTCTCTCCTCCTCTTTTTATCTTAAGCTCAGACAGAGAGGTAACAATGATGGATAAGTAAAGTGAGAGGAGATGGAAATACAGTACTGTGGGGGAATCAACCTGTAGAAGCTGAGCTCTCCTCTCGCAGATGCCGGTCATCTACCTGCAGCACATACAGCTTACCATTCTATTTGGTAAGTTTCCCTTCACTTTTAAAGGAGGGGATATTGAACGTGGGCAAGGGGCTCAAGGTCATGAAATTTACAAAAGTAAACATTCTAGATTTTAAGTTCACATTGGATGTCAACAACCTTATGAAGGGGTGATACTGCCCAGTCTTCTACCTTCAGTTCCATAGTGATTTTCTTTCAATATTAAATTATTAGTTATTATTAATACTAGCTATGAAATACCCATGGATGCTTCCTAACAGTCTCTCTTTACGAAGAAGGTGCTACAGAAACTTCATTTCTTACCCTGCCATTCCCCTTAACTCTAGATTTCTCAGCCATGTCTTTACTTTCATCTTTATGCATACATAATTTCAAAGATTACTTCCTGGGGAAACTGTAATTAGAATAAAAGTTGTATTTCACCTTGTTTCTTAGGTGAGTCACCTGCCCTTAAAATGGTAGCAAGTACTCAGGACTACAGTTTCAAATCCCCATGTTCTATGTTGCATTAGAATGTTGGTTTGGCATGAGCCATGTTTGAATCAAATATTTGTTGTTTTAATTTTATTCATGCTATTAATTTATTTATATCTCCAGAACTCAAAGAGTCCATGCATTACATGGTAAATTTTTTACCAAACTTCCATTCATAAGCGATTTTTGATATCATGCTGCATTAGCTGTTTGGCAAGGATATTTAGTTACCACATTTCTTCCAAATTCATCCTTAATTGCTTTGCTGAGAACACTAACTTAAGAGTACAGAACAGAAATCAATGTGTAATTGAAAATTAGCCACAACCTTATTTCCAGAATTGTTTCTCCAGATAAGTAGGTTTATATATAATTGCATATTAATGACATACTTTATATGTACATAAATACATATAATAGACATACTGCATATGTATGAGTCTAAATTTATTTCAAGTTTTTCATCTCGATTTGTTGCAAAATTCACAAGTAACTACAGTTCAGACCTCATGGGGGAAAAAAAGTGCTTGTTTTAAAAAGAAATTTTAGAACTTTGGTCAATTTGGTGTTATTACTGAAATAAAGGTAGGTCCCTTCCCATCCAAGAAATCTATAAGAATAAATATTATTTAGAACACAGTAAAGTTTTAATTGACCATTTTAAGTAGGTCACATAAAAAGTGGAAAATTTTACCTCTGAGTATTTTTAAAAAATCTCAGAATTCGAGATCTTTAGTACTAACTGTCTTCTATTCTCTCTGTTAAATGCTGGCTAATTTCATAGTCTTAGTAACTCAGAAATAAACTAGGAGAAATGAGAGCCATTGATGCATAGTTTTAATGACATTTAAACAGATGTTTGTTCACAGAGTAAGTACATTTGTTAAGCAAACAACGATAAGAAAACCCACTGCTCTATTTTGGCTCCCAAGAGAACTCCAGCATGTTAAAGAGTTTAGAATTTCTCTGTCGTTGGTACTTACAATGACAAAGATGGAGAGTCCCTCATTCACAGCCCAGTTCCCCATGGTAGCAAAGGTTGAGTGTGCTGGTTCTGCCTCTCTCCTCCACTGTGCTTCTTCTTTGTATGAGGAAATGAAAACAGCAGCCTTGGGGCAATATGTTTCCTTTTCTATTATCAGAAATTAGCTAATCATTGGTCAACTGAAGGCCTGTTTCCATAACAAATTTAAATCTTTAAACCACATAAAAACTCCAGAAAGAAAAAAGATCTTGTGATTCAATCACATTGGAAAATGAAATCAATTGCTACAACTGAGAGACTATTTGCCAAGTATTTAAATTGGTTTTATTATTTATCAGATTATTTGTGTAGTTTATGAATGTATTATCCTCAGTGAAGAATTGTTTTTAGCTAACAGTTGTCTACTTCAAATTTCAAGTTATTCACCTAACCAGAGATAAAACGTATAGGTGCTGGGTAAAACATTAAACACATGTGGCATCTTCTGACGGGCTCTTACAACAGTATTTATTCTCACTGGATGAAGTAAAAGGAGTGATAGATGATGTTTATAGAGTATTAACCATGTGCCAATATTATATCCTAAAATGGATATAGGTCGATATTGTGTACATACATTTATAAATTGAAACATACATATAAATACATATGTATGCGTACACAGAAACATACTTGTGCCCACATATACATCAGTTCAGTTGATTCTCATGACTCTGCTCCTATAGAGTCGATTCTATTTTATGATTACATTTACAGATGAGGAAACTAAGATCCAGAGCAGTGAACTTATTTCAACCCAGTAACAATGCCAAGGAATAGTGTTGAAGTCTAAACAACCAACATTACCTGCAAGTAAGATACCAGGGGGAAAAAGTTTAAATTTGTCAGCTCCACCTTAAATCACTCCACACAGGACTACAGGAAAGGGAAATGTGCCAAAAAAGACCCAAAGGTTTAGATGACAATCACGTTTCCAGGCAGACATTCTATATGCTGTGTGTAAACAGAGATCAAAGATATACCAGTGGATGGTAGATGCTAAAGCTAGATGTAGCACAACTACCTTCTGGCTGCTACTCTGTCTTCAAGACATGAAACAGGTGGATGGTGACCTGACTGTGTGGTGAAAGTTGATTGTGCAGAGGTGGCTGTACAGTACTTACAGCTAATAGAGAAGTTCAAGAAACAAAGCAGAACCCTGGAAGAGGACAAAAGAGCGAAAGAACCGAGGCACAAATTCCCTCAGTTGTTGTCTACAAAACACATGGACAACCTCTAGGATTGTGCCAATTAGTAAATCAGTATGTTTTTTTCATTGCGTGATATTTAAAGAAAGGTAGTTTGACTTCCCCATGGTAATTAGAACATGTATAACCCACACAAAGCAAACCCACCTCCTGGGTTCATTTCCCAAAACAGATAAATTCAAAGAATCACTAGACGATCGGAACATTAGCAAGTTACATGTTTCTTTGTTTGCTGATCTGTTTGCCTACCCTCTCCGAGTACTGCTGTATTTCACAGAGAATGACATTTGTCAGCCAGCTTAGACTGACGGCTTCCGGTTGGCCCAGCTAAACTGGAGTAGAGAAGCCACAATGTTTCTCACCACAGAATTTTGCTTCAAGAGGCATTCACCAGGTGGGTGAATTGCTACTATGTCTCCAGCTTCCCCTTCAGCCCTTCCCTTCAGTGTGTGAGCCCTTCAGCCCTTCCCTTCAGTGTGTGAGCACCTGCTAGTCAGCAGCATTGGAGGGCTCCAAGTTGCCAGATGGCCCTGGCTGCTGTGCGGGGGCGGGAGGTTAGACAACCACCTCCCAATTCCCCTCTGACTGAGAGCTAACCACTTCCTGTCGTTACTCTTTTTTTATGTTGCCTCTTGTCCCCTGTTGGGATTCTCCACTTTTCCATCACCCATGTAACACTTTTCTGGTGTAAAAGTCTCTGTCGAAATAGGTAGTTTCTGTTTTTCACTTGGATTTTGAAACAAAGTAATTCAGATGAGTACTGGTTTTTTCATGTAGCTGAAGAAGTGAGTCCTATATGCCTAAGGAACAATAAAACACCATAAACGTGAATTCTCTTTATCTTCTCCACTCACAAACTCCCTTTTAAGGATGACTCCTAGTCTTTCAAGCTTTTCAAAATTCAACAAGCTCTTCTGTATCTTTCCCCTCTTTTCTCTTGCCTACCTGATGGGTCATCCTCCTTGTCCCTCTTCACGTTTCCTCTACTGTTTTTCATGTGCGTTCTGAAGCCTGTGCTCTACTGCAGAAGAACTGAGAGTGCCATGCACATTCACAGACTAAGAAGCACTATTTTCTTTTTCTTATAAACACGCTTGGTGGACATTAACCCCTCCTTTTCCTTCCCTCTAAAAGTTCAGAAGAAAATTTAGAGAAAGAAGCATTTTGCCATGGGTAAGCAACCATTCCCTTCTCTTGATTGGCCCCCCTCATGAAACTAATCACGACACTCCGAGTTGCATTTTCCTGAGTCTTAAGAGCCTCAATCAGTTTCACAGCTGGAGAAGATCACTTGCGATGAAAAGTAAAATCTTTCGTCCATGGAAACTAACTTCCCTTTTGAGAAGACTAAGAAATCTGCAGTGTGCGCTGCCCTCGGAAACACAGGTGGACAGGGTGGTAAAGGGGCAGCGGGATTAGCTGTGTAGCACTGATTATACAAGGAGAATAAAAAAACTTAAACCTCTGGATTAGCTAATGGGAATTAGCTTAGGGCTCATCTTGTCCCGATCCCTTCAGCTTCCACTGGCTCTAACTGGTGGCCTTCAGTAAGATTGTGGAAAACTTAAGCACAAACTCACAAGTCCTTGAGACACAGGAGAGAGGCAGTCCCAAGTTTCAGAATATTCCCTGATTTCACTCCCTGAATGTGATTCTGTCTTTTCTGTCTTGATAGCTCAATTTGCAAATTAGATTTCCCACAATTTCAAGGACGAAAATTGCTATAGAAATGGAGAGATGTAACTACATCAAAAGTCCTGATGCATTTTGTTCCTAGTGCTGAGGAAACTGTGTTTTCTTTCTTTTGTAGCTAGCTTGTGTTCACTGGACTTTCCAGAATTGTCGTGTTTGGCAAAATCTGCAAAATTTGCCTAAGGTTTACTATGGAGAAGTTCCCTTGGACACAGTGATTGTCTTAGGTTGGGTCCTTGATATAAACAAGAGCAATCAGTGTTTTTGCATCCTCTGGAGGAACAAAATTAAAACTGTTTCTCTCTTCCTCTTTGTCAATGATGTATGTCTTGTGTGACTACAGTCTGTCACTACTATCATGTGCTAAAAAAATCTGAGTAAGAATTATACCAGGACATGGAGGCATGAGCTAGAACTGACAGGGAAGCCTCCTCCCTGAGGACTAGCTCTCACAGTATCAGAAGGTGCTATGAAGCCACCGAGGGAGAAGAACAATCATAAGTCCTACCCAGATGTCAAGCCTACACACCACAACAATGACTGGCCAGACAAGATGTCCTCCACAGTGCAATTGCAGTGCAGCTGTCTAAAGGGACTAAAGGCACCCCCCATTAGGAGGGAATTCATGCCTGGTACAACGAACCTAGCCAACTACTAGTGACTGAGGCAGTCACAGACCCTAGAGGGGAAACATGATACTGCTATTTTCCTGACCCAGTACAATTTATAACTGTATTCTAATCACTTATCCTTCCACCCACACCAAAAAAGCTTATCTCTTCCCTCACCAGAAAAGCTTCTTTTTGCAGCAGCGGCTACTACAGAGATCCACAACTGGTCAAAGCGTAGAGAATAAGTGACTGTGGGGTGCTCTTCCATTTTGCTTTCTGTTCCCATAATAAACACTGTGACCAAAAGCAACATAGGTTTATTGCATCTTACAACTCCCAGGTCACACTCTATCACTGAAGGAAGTCAGCACTGAAATTTAAAGCAGGAATCTGGAGGCAGGAACTGAAGTAGAGGCCATGGAGGAGTGCTGCTTACTGGCTTGCTTAATCAACCTGCTTTCTTATACAACCCAGGGATGGCACCACTCAAAGTAGTCTAAACCCTCATTCATCAGCCATTAATCAAGAAAATGTCTCACAGACAAGTCCCAGGACAATCTGATGGAGGCAATTCCTCAATTGAGGTTCCCTCTTCCAGACAACTCTAGTTTCTATTGAGTTGACAAAACCCCACCACCAAAGGTGACCTGTCCCAATGATTATATCTACCATGCAACCCCTACACCTAAAGCTCAGGGAACATAGAGAAAGAAGGGGCACAAAGATTGCAAGAAACAAGACTGAGATGCCTGCTGCTGCTAGATAGTGTCTTCTAGCCTTGACAAGGATGCCGTACCCATAAAAGCTCAACAATATGGTTGCCTAAATAAGACTTGCATAGGATAATACCAGTCAATGTACCATTGCTAATGGGGAAAATCTCACAAGGCCCTGCTCCTAGATGAAGAGCTATAAGCAATCAGTGGCTGTAGAGGGAGGGAAAATCACTTTTTTTTTCTGGTGATAAGCATCTTGATATCCAATCCCAAGCTGTCAACCTTAAACACGTATACAGGTGAGCAACACTAAATGGACTCAGTAGGTTTTACATAATACATGTATCTATGTAACAACAACAATTATAGAATGAGAGGTTATGTGTTTGAGAGGGAACAGGCATGCGAGGGGCAGAAGAAAGAGGTGGAAATGATGTAAATATAGTACTCGTGAAATTCTCAAAAGAATTTAAAATTGAAAACTAAAAAACAAAGAGGGCATATACAGGAAATTATACTGACATAAATAAAACCTGAACTAGTAATGAAGACAGGGCGAGGAGATTTGAAGAGAGAGATGCTGACAATGTTTGAATTCTTAGTTTTTTCTGCCTAGACATTTAGGCATTTCAGTTATTCGTAAAGAGTGGGTTTCCTAGGAAACGGTCTCTAAGGTAGAGATTAATGTGCAACATTATTGGGGAGATTTCTTGTAGGTAAGTATCTAAGAAAGGAAAGAAAAGATAAGAAAACAGGAGTGTGCCAAAAAGAAAATGAATTATCATGCAGCAACCCCGAAATCTTGTGGGGAGATCTGAAACTGGAGTGACTCTGAGTAACCTTGGGGAAGATAACTCTGGATTTTAGTTGTTTGGTTTGGTTTGTAGTTATAGCACTCACAGTGCTTCCCTTGTTTCAGCCTTCTGAGTGCTGAGACGCCCAACATGGGACACCACACCTGGAAAAGATGGTTTTTATCAGAGACAATCTCTGTAGGTGTTTATAGTGTGATAGAAATAATATGCCTTGTTCTCGAGAAATCACTCTGCATACTTACAGATGAAGGAAAAGCTCTCTACTGAAGTGCCTGGCCCACTGGGGCTAATTCCCAAAGAACAGTCAACCTTAAATAGATGCCCCTAGCTTATATACACCTTGGGCTTATGAGTTTAACATAAGCACTGTCATCTTTAAATCTCTTTCAGGTCCCAGCTACGCTTTGAACAATTTGAACAGAGACAGGAGACTGCAAATCTGGTCACTTGGGCAGATGGGAGATTTACACAGCAAAGATCTTGCCAGAATTGTTGTTTAAGTACACCAGTGTTGTTCTTTCTGAATAGTTGATGTCTAGGCTCATCTTGCTCACCTGGCAGAATTATGCTTCCTGATAAGCCCTTTCATGCTTAGCTTTGAAAAAGCTTGTAGAGTGTAGAGTCATGGTTCAGCCTCCAGTTCCCTGATACACAGAGGAAGAAGACACTA